ACGACCTCGGTCTCACGGCCTTTCTCCATCATTGCCAGTGTCCTATGGACTTCCGATCTATCATGCGCAGACGACAGACGTACGAGACGAAAGCCTCTATGAAGTCAAAGGAGCACCTGAATCACGATGGTCGCTCAGTACATTAGGTATGTTTTGGACTCTGCAATCTATACATGAACCAACTGACTTCTTTAGATACGAGGTCGATCCGAAACCTATTAGTAGGAGACTTCAGGGTCTGGAATCTCCTCGACGAAGCCAAGACAGTCTTCCCATTTCACGACCCTGTAGCCCACAGAGCGAGGGTCAGGTAAACCCCAAATCAAAATACAGCTTGATCTTCTGAATTAGATGATCGACTGCCTCTAGTACAGGCATGTAACGATTCGATATCATCACACGGGCCACCCTTCACTCCCTGCCTCTCCCAAGTCGAACGCTCTCTTTTCAATTTTCCTTCCCTTTCACAATACAGATTACCTTCCTCTCTCAGTTCCTTCATTTTTTTCGCTCATTTAGTTCCTATTTCGCATGGTATTTGTTGCGTGCATTTGGAAACATATATTCGGGAAGCAGAAGTCCTCATGAGATATCAGGCGGTGGCAAAAGTTTGACTTGCTTGTGATTGGTACAGCAAGGGAAAAGGGGAAGGAAAAACGACAAAACGACAAAACGACAAGTTCTATGATTTCACTGTGTGTTACGTTTTCATTTTGTTTTACGTGGCTCCTCATTACGATTTTGAGAGTCCTTTACTCATAACGATTTTACGATAACGATATATATAGAAATGCTTTCAATGATGATGAATTTACTCTCCCTTGTCCCTCGTTCTTACCAGTCGCATGCACAGCAACAGCTTCAGCTTCAGCTGATAGAGCCTACCTCTACGCAGGTTGAAATCAGGCAAAGTACAGCTGGTTGCAGACAAGAATAATTGGAACAGGGCACTATTGGTCCCAGCGGACACGTACATATACATCGGAAGAGGTACAGCACGCAGTGGGTGCTCACAAGTCGCTGTTGGTCAGCTTGATGCATCACCCAAAAGGGTAAGCCGACAATGCGACGCACATGTTAAGCACGAGAAAGACCGCATTGTCACTCTGATGGCGGGACGACAGCCCGTCTTATATGCAATGTGAGAGCATTCATGCATTCAACCCATCTCGGTCAACTCTGTTCGGTGAGTGGGCATGGGTGTAACGGCAGCTAATGCAGTTGAGATACTGGCTGGCAGATTATGTTTTTTTCAGGCGGCCAGGGGGGGTGGCAGACAATCTCATGATACCCAAAAAAAACATGTGGTGAGGGCAGGAATCACATGTGACAGTTACACAAACACGCACTCTCCTCCAATATTGCCCGCAACCGCACACCGGTCAATCGTCCTTTTTTTCTTGTGTTGTGAACCGTCACACATCTACATCATTGCTACTTGGCTTGGTATGCGGTGCATCTGTACCCTCCCATCGCCCGGCGAGTTCTCGAAGGAATGCGAAGAATTACCACGCATCGTCGTCCGGCCCAAGTCCGCTTGACCGGGAGGGCGCCCGTCGTCCCTGGTGGCAATCGAAATTCCAAGGCCTGCATTCGCCTAGATCATCGACGACTCACGCACGGCTCCAAGTGGAGACGGTCGGTTCGAGAGGGAGGCTTAAAACAGACGCGCTCGGGCTCATTCCCCCCTGCAAACATGTCTGTCTGTGTGATTTCAATCTCCGTAAGGTTAGTCCGGGCCTGCGTAGTCGGACGTTGCGCCCGCAACGACATGCTAGCATGAGTAGTCAGACGCAGGTGTGGTCGTCAGCCATGGCCATGCATGAACGGCAGTGTGTACCGAGCCTGCTGCTACTGTAGAGCAGGAGATGGCACAGACAATAGTCGCGAGGTCGCCCTCGTGCCGGCAGAAACCTAGAATTTTAGAGTGGTTTTGAGTCCCTGTTTGGTGCTGCTTGTCTCAGTCGTCCTCGATGCTCGGCGATGGATGGTGATCTTCTCTGGTGTCTGCTCGGGGATGTCCGCGCCCGTTGAGAGACTCCACAGATTATTAATGGAGCGGCACAAGGCCAAGCTAGAAAACACACAGGCGACGAAAAGCAATATTGCCCGTGTCAGCTCCGAGGATAGCGCCTGTTTCTATTTGCCTGGTCTTCGCTCTAGGTAAAACCACGGTCGGTCAGCTAGGCGATCCTCCGCCGAAAACCAGCAACGGCCGCCGGAGGAGGACAATAGTCTCGGGAAAAGATTCATTAGATGAAGACGGAGAAGAAAGGGGATAGAGCCAGATCGGAGGGAGCAAGTCAATCCCGTATAAGGTATGGATGTGTGGGTGTGTCACTGTGTACCTATGCGAGAGATCAGAGCTGCTCTAGTAGAGCCTTTTCCTACCCATCCCAAGCGACGGCCTGTCATTCGCTGCCCGGCGCCCGCTGGCTGATGAATCACAGGCTTATTATTATACAGACGAGGACATCATCAGCTCAGACCCTGGCCCGCATCCATGCAACACACACTGGGAGTTGTGTGGGGGTCAGCGTGGTGTTTCATGCAAGTGCTCGTCTGATCTGTCAGTCCATCCTTAAGCAACAACTGTATATAGCACCAGGGCCAACGCCTATCCTGACCTTTGCTTTTTCCTGGCGAGGCGGGCAAATCGTAGAACCACGAGGGTAGCTCGAGCCATGGATGGTCAGGGCGGGGCACAATGCAAGGCCCTCTGGAGAGCGCGGCGTTGGATGCGCCTGGCTGCCTGGCCGCCGCTACCTAGAATGTCTCCTGCAGCCCGCTCCGTTAGCCTCTCCCTAGCAGCCTCCAGCATTGTTTCAGCGTGTACTGTGCGGGCTGGCAACGGGCCCAGGCTCCAGCAGCAATATGCCACACGGCGCAGAGAAAATTAGTTTCCAATGTTCTCGTCGTCATGCAGATGATGGACCAGGGCTCTGCGTGCTCCAAGGTGGTGTGGGTTCGCTCTTCGTCGGTGGCTGCAGTGCAAGCGGGACCAGGGCCCCTCTAAACCCGCTGGCCACAGGGAGTCAGGGACCCTGCAGGATGCCTCAAGCCCTTCGAAGCCCAACCATGCTTGCCATGCTCCCTGGGACTAGTGGTGCTACGGGGCCCTTGCGCCCGTGGTAAGGCCGGCGAATCGCTGCCCTCTTGGATCGGATAGCTACAACTTATTATTAAGAGAAATGAGTTAGAATTCTGGGGATCTCGAACGGCCAGCATGCTGATGGAGACTCGGTGCAGCAGCCGGGTCGGGCCATCTTCTACCGTGACCGACATGGTCGCGCGACAGTAAAATGCCAGGTAGGCGCCAATTCAGCCTCTGCGCGCGAGGCATGGAGCCCGGAGGCATTCCATCGCATCCAGCCAGCAAGCCCGGGATACCCAACCGAGCAACTCCTCTGCCAGAGCTCTGCCGCTCATTTCACCACCAGGCCAACCACTCATCGCTCTTCCAGGGCACTGGGGCGATCCAGGGTGCTCTCAATGGCTTTCCGAGGTTACATGCAGCCGTTGTACATAAACATCCCTCCGCCTTGGCTCTGCCAAACCCATTTATTTTCGCTAGGGATCCAGCGACGGCGCTAGAAAGTAATAAACCCGTACGTCGCAGGAATTACTCATCGTTTTGCGCTTTTTGATAAGATAACTGAGTGCAGCAGTGCGACTTCGCCATGTTTTATTCCCTCTTTCCAAAATGATGAGGTAATGCTGCAGCTGGCATTTGATTTCATGTGTTTCTAGATTGACTAAAAGAGAGGGGAAGCGGAGGGTCCCGAAGCAGGGCTGCTATTAGCCGGCGGCTGGACTCAGACCTGACTACCTCCTACCAAGATATACCGAATTGAGCGAAACACCACGGCGGCGGTGGTCATTTTTTAAACAATTGATGAATCAACTCGTCGACCAGGTACGTAGACGGGGTTGTGTAACAAGCAAACAAGCAAATGGCCAGTTATAGAAACGACAAATGAAATCGATCCTCCATGAACGATGCGGAGGCAGCACAGACCAAGGCTCGATGTACCTGTACTCGACGCAATGTACACGGCCGGGGACCGTTATGACAGCCTTTGCTACCACGATTCTCCAATCCCCATCGAAGGGTTCAGGATGACTCGGTAGACGGTAGCTAGTCTTGTTTTCCCTGTCATCCGCCCCCAGAGTCATGCGTTGGCCGATACTTGTTCTGCCCTCGCTATAGACGGGGAACACTGTGCAAGACGATCGCTCTGGGGCTCGTATCTCCAGGGTCCTGATTCATTACAAGTTGCCCTTATTAAGGCTTTCTCGACCTCAGGAACTAGAACCGAGGTAAGCTCCGACAGCAAGCCGACCAGTCAGGCAGCAAGCACGGTACCCACCATCATGACCTACCTTGCCTACTCTGTAGTTGGCCTCCGTGCAGGAGGAATATCCCCCGAACCGGCCAGGGCCCCAAAAGAGGGACCAGCGTTTATTAATACCTGGGCGGGTGCTCTGTGCCCAGGTCTCACGGTGTGTGGTGGCATCATAAGTGGTGCTTGGACCGCGCTGGAGACGACCCCCAACTTTGTAAACTGTGCTCTCTCCTCCCCCCCGCCCGTCCCCCCACTGCGAGAAAATACTACGGCATGGACTCGCACTCAACCGCGCACCAGGGGGGTCAAGCTGCGGGTCCGTAGTGCGGTTTGGCGCAGCGAGTTGGATCTTGTGGCGACTTCGGCACTATGTGCGCCGGGGAGCCAAGCAGGCCAAGCTCCTGGCAAGCCCACTGGGAATGCGAGCCCACGGGTGGGCGACATCGCATCGGGGCCCGTGTCGGTCCCAAGTCGAGTCGCAAGCGCAGCACGCTGGAATTGGAAGTCTGTCGGAAGGTAGGTAGGCACTAGTTGAGAGTTAAAGGCGATGGATGGCTGCCATAGCACATAGCACCTTGATCTTAGTACCGACGGGGTACCTCTGACCTGCGCGAGTGGAGGTTTTCTAATAAAGTTACTCCAGCACCGTTCGCTCTAGCCAGCGACCGAGTCCCAGTTGACATTCCATTTGTCCATCCTCGTAGCCCGGAAGCCGTCGTCAGAGCCTGGTTTTTCATTCTCTTCAACCGCTGTGCTTGGATTCCCTCTTGCTCGTCTGATCACGTCCAGAAAGCCTGGATGAGCAGCTGTTCCCAGAACTCATGCTTGTGCTGCTTACAGGTACCCTCACCTCGACGCCCACGTACCCGATACGGTCGCAGCCACCTTGTCTCCGGCCACCACCACCACCAGCTCCAGCACCCGTACCGCACCTCCAGCACACCCATCCACTGCACTGGACACACTGACTTGCCTTGCTTGACGTGTGGGGGGCCCATTCCCTCCGTCATTTCTTTCCTCTGCCCGCCCATCCTTCTCATCCCCAACCGCCTCACCTCGCGCAAGCACACATTTGCCCATGGCTACTCGAACAGCGATGCCGCCTACCTTGGGTCCGGCCGCACGCATGAACCCCACGACGACAGAGCACGACTTTCGCTTTCCTCGCCGGCCAACGGCTCGCGACAAACAGCAGAACCTGAGTGGAGGGCGCTGCTATCCGGCCGCTGCCATGCCCTCCCGCCGCCCCAACCCTAACCTGGCCGTGGAAAACGAGGCTGCCAGCAACGAATTACTTGGCCCCTCCCTCTTCCCTCTCCTCAAGGACGCCAATTCCGGCTCCGACCAGACGATAGCGCAGATGCAGCAGGACGACCCTCTGGCTACTCAGATCTGGAAATTCTTCAGTCGCACCAAGCAGGAGCTCCCGCACCAAGAGCGCATGGAGAACATGACCTGGCGGATGATGGCCGTCCAGCTGCGCAAACAGAGGCAGGAGGAGCTGCAGAAAAAGTACGGTGCCGCCTTGATTTTTTCCTTCTGATTTTCCCGTTGGCTCTTGCATCCGACGCCTTCTCAAGCCGTTCTGCACCTGTTCTCTTTTTTCCTGTGCGGTTGCGATGCTTATCTACGAGATGCATCCCGCAGGGTTCGTTCCGTCCAATGCGCTAACCTCACCATTTATCACAGGCTTGTGACTGGTCGGCACACGATGCAGCAGAATACCCCAAGCGGCATTGCCCAGTTGCGCTTCTCCGAGGCCGTGGCCAATAGCCATGAGAGCACGGATCCAATGAACATTGACGACTTCATCTTCTCTGAGAATGCCGCAACCCCTGCCGGCATCTCGTTTTCTCCCTCACCACAATTAAAGCACTCAGATACCCATCCACCACTAAATGCCCAAACAGCAAATGGCATCCTCATCAAATCGCGCAAGGACAGGATCCAGCAGCAACACCTTCAGAACCAGTTTGTCCCACAGTCCGTACCTGAGCCTGCGCAACATCCTACCAGCGAGTTCAATTATGTCAACCGCCATGTTCGCAAGACGAGTATAGATGATCGCCGGGTGAGTCTTTTCTGGTTTTTCCACTCTTCATCTTCTGTTGAACAACCGTGTCTATCAAATACCCCGGTCTCATTTACATCATGAATGTCACCGATTATGAGCAACCGGCGCTACCCCCTCTCCCTACCCCCCTTTCCTCTTCTCTTCCCACCTAGGGTCCAACGATCTTCACCTCTCAAGATGACCTCTCTCAAGCCCCCCCCCTCAAAGTTTTACGTCTTTTATCGGTCCATGAAACTAAACTGCTCTCCAGACGCGGAAACGCCCAGCCAACTTCTCCCCGCATGTTCCTGCGGTTAACAGCGGCACAAACGCTGCGCAACATGATCTTGAGCCTGACTCCGAACTTCATGACTACTCCCTTGACACTTCCGCCCACATCGACATGTCTGCCCAACCCCCTGTCCAAAGTTTCAATTTCGACACTTTCATGGAAAATGAGCCTATCATGACATCTGCTGGTCCCTACCAGCAAAACTTCTCCTTCTCCCCTGGCACATCTCCTATGGTCTCAACTGGTCCTTTCTCCAACATGTTCAACAATGCAGGTATCACTTCCGGCTCGATGAATGCCAACGAGATCTACTCGCCCACTGGCTCCGCCTACCAGTCCGCAGTGACAACACCTCATCCTATAACCGACAATGACAACTTCTACCTCCCACCTCAGGACATGCGACAACATGCAGCACAACACCTGCAAGGAGCCCCCAATATTAATGGCCAAGTCAACCAGCAACTCATGTATGATCGCTCTCAGGGCAACGGGAGCACCGCAATGTTCCCCTCGCCAAATTCCGGCCAGGACCCGGGCACGTACAATGGCTCTGCGCCTTCTACTTTCGGGCACATTGATCCCACTCAGGTCTTCCAGTCTGAGCAATCGCTCGCTTCTAACGGAGTGCCCATGTCAAATGAGAACAACATGTTCAACTTTGGCGGTGAATCCGATGATGAAGACAACGCATTTTCTGACCGAACTATGGGTGTCTCTAGCGAATACCCGTCCAACAGCGATGACGCTAGCACTATGGGCTGGGATGCTTCTTTACCCGGTCAATTCAGCACTCAAGCTGCTCGATTCCCGGGCGGGCCTATCCGGAAGCAGGTTTCAATGGGAAATACACCTAGCGAGTACGATGAGAACAACGGAAACTGGGAAAATGGCAGTCTGGGGCGATCACAGTCGTTCCGACAAAGGCAGCCCAAGCTCTCCCGCACGGCCTCAACGTCCTCGCATATGGCAAGCAATTCCAACGGTCTCGATCACCTTGCCATGACAATGCCGACCTCGCCAGATAATGTGCACGGGTCCATGTCAGGCTTCTCGTCAGTAGCCCCCAGCAGACCTTCCTCGCCACCAATGTCCAAGTCGGGTTCTTCAACCAATCTTCAAGGTGGTTCTGGTGGCCAGAACGATGGAAATGGCCCTACCACGTGTACGAATTGTTTCACTCAAACAACACCGTTGTGGAGACGCAATCCTGAAGGTCAGCCGTTATGTAATGCGTGTGGCTTGTTCTTGAAGCTCCATGGTGTTGTGAGACCGTTGAGTTTGAAGACGGATGTTATTAAGAAGAGAAACAGAGGCTCTGGAGCCAATCTCCCTGTTGGATCATCAAGCGCACGGCCCAAGAAGGGCGGAAATTCCAATGTGGGATCTCGCAAGAATTCATCCCTGTCACTCTCAACCTCGATCGCTACTGCCAATATCAACGGCCTCAGCAACAACAAGGGTGCGGTGAGCTCTGCCAGCACCACCAACGTCAATACAAGCCCTCTTGCGCCGAAGTCAGCCAGCGGGAACGAAGGCGAGAGCCCAGCTAGTGGTGGTGGAACTTCTGGGGTTAACACAGCCGGTAGCACGCCCAACAGTCATTATGGAAGCACGGGTTCTTCGACTGCTGCTATGGGCGGCAAGGGTGTCGTTCCAATCGCTGCCGCTCCACCCAAATCAACACCAGGCCCTGGTGCTTCTTCCGTATCAAGAAACACGACCGCGTCATCAAAACGGCAGAGGAGGCATAGCAAGAGTGGAGGAGGTGACAGCCGTGCATCTATGGACATCGATAGTCCTGAATCAACAGGCTCCAACGAAGCTGCCCGAGCCCTGGGGACCAGCATGCCTATCCTTCCTGGTGGCATGATGCCAGGAAGCTTCCACATGGCACAACGCCCAATGATGAACAGTTCCAGTATGGTCCAGCTTGGTGGAGCTCAACAGAAGCCGCCAATGAATGGACCTGTAGGCTCTGCCGGTCCCCAGGAGTGGGAGTGGCTGACAATGAGTCTGTGATCGTCTTTTGATCAGATACATGGAGGCGCCCATTTTCCAATAAACGGACGATGTAGCAACATATTGGTAAAGGCGCATCTCAATACCCTGTTGGAGTTTATTTTGGCGATATTACAAGCGGTGATGACGGAGTACTCACGACCCATAATTACGATTTTTTTCAACATATGCAACGGCACTCAGATATCCTTTCTTATATACTAATCACGTTATATTGGGTGGCGCTGGAATGATGGCTCGCGGGCTTTTTTTCTCACTTTTTTTTTCAATTTGTTCTCAAGGGTCTGGGATGGGATGTTGGCTAGGCTGGCTTTGATACCTCGACTGCGGCTTCAGATGGTTTATGTTTTCGCCCCCGTTTTTCTTGGGTTGACTTATTAGATGGAGGATATGGGACGATGCTTACCTGGGATATAGATGCACTTTGGCGTTACGACAATCCAATGACAACCCCAAACACGTATTGATTGCATTTATGGACGCTAGGGACGATATGTCAGCGGCTGGATAGTTGCCTGTCTACTTTTAAACTCTTGATACCTCTGTAACAGAAGCAAATAGGCATATCCTTGATGACTGACGAATATAAACATATCTTTGAAACTGTCTTGTTTTCTTAATCTCGTGAAACTACCGTTCTAGTCCTAATGAGTATCATCACAGTGAGAGGTCATATTAGAACAATTTCCCTGCATTCCGTTTCTGCGGCCTAGAGTTCCGCAGTGCGCGCGCATTCAATAACAGACCGTCTCTATTCCCTCGAACAACCAAGTTGTCGTTACTCCCACCCCGTTTTCGTGCAAACTCCTGGCCAAAACAAATGCAAAAATACAAGTACCAAACAAGCCAAGCAATAAAAAAAATTAATAATAGGAAAGAAGAAAGGTAAGAAGAGGACGATGAGAAGGGGAAAAATGCATCATGCCGTGAGCCTGTTTTCAGGCAAAATCTGTTCGTTCCACTCCAGAATAATCCCCTCTTCTCTTTTTTGCTGGGGGGGCTGAAGAAGACGAGCCAGAAGGCAAGATTGCATGTACTTGACGTGCCCGCGCCAAATTAGAAACTCCAAATCTAGGTCGCTGCTCACTCTAAAGCATCGTTCCGAACGTGTCATCGTTGGTGGGGATGCGCTTCCTCGGGCTGCCACCATCCTCAGTTGCAGTCTTACGATGGCGGAATGTGAAGCCAACAAAGAGGCTCTTGCTCATTTCATCTTCACGCTCTGCCATCGTCTCCAGGGCCTGCTGCTTCTCATGGACCTCCTTGTATTTGGCCATGTCGGCCTCATTGCTGAAGTCGTCGAAATAGCCCGCGTCTGTCTCCGAGTCCAGCTCAGGAACGAACGGCGCCCTGCTCTGGCGGAGGGTATCCCAATCAACTTCAGCAAAGTACTGATGTTCAAAGATATCTTTGATGTTGGAGAACCGACGGCTGCGAGAGTTGATGCAACTGCTACAGTTAGCTTGCTTGATCACATTCTAGAAATATCTTCGTCAACTTACGTAGTAATAAAGTTCCATGTACGGTTGCTCAAGAAGTAATTCGGGTCTTCCCAAACAGGACGCTTGAGCACCTCCTTCCAATGCTTCAAGTTGCGCCAGGTCTCATCGGGAGACGCACCTGCAAAAGGTGGGAAACCTGTGAGCGCCTCGAACAACATGCATCCAAGGCTCCAGTAGTCGACTGTGTAGTCGTACTCTTCCCCCCTAAGGA